AGGAATTCTACAGACAACTGCAGTCAACACTGGACAAGACGTCAGTTGGCGATATCAAAATTCTAATTGGTGGGGCGACATGAATGCCGAACCGGGAGGGGACAACACAGGAAGAGAACTAAGCATGGGTCGAGAAGCGCTAGGTGAGGTGATGAACGATTACGGAGAACTGTTTGCAGAATTCTGCGTATTCAACGATTTGGTGATTGGAGGCCAGGCAGTGTGTTCAAGAACAAGGATATCCACAAAGCAACATGGATTTCACCAGATGGACACACTAAAAATCAAATCGACTTTATCTCAATCTCAAGAAAATGGAGACGCAGTCTACTTGACACAAGATGAAGAGGAGCACATGTAGGTTCACACCACTCACTGTCTAGTGCAAGGAACCTAACTTCCAAATCAAGTTGAAAGCCTTCAAGGAAGCTGGTGATAGACCGCAGTTCAAGTACAACACTCGGAAACTGAAGGATGAAACTACAAAGGAGATCTTCACGTCAGCCATCAAGACGAAGTGGGAGATATCGAGGAACATCCCTGAAGAAACCTGTGTGGAAGAACACTGGAAGTCTTTGAAAGAGATGTGGAAAGAAACCTGCACAGCCATATTAGGAAGGAAGAAGAAAGAAGACAGGACAAGGAATGGATCTCAATGGATACATGGAAGCTGATAGAGCAGGGAGAGGAGGATGGTGAAGCAGAAGACAAACCAGTGCAAGGATGCTCAACGACAAGAGGAACTGAGTACAATGCATAAAACACTACACTGGACAAAGGAGTGAAGAAGAGTGCACGGAAAGACAAAAGACACTTCTACGAAACACTGGCAAGTGAAGCAGAACAGGCTGTTGGTAGGAGAGACAGGCACCTGACAACATTATATCAAATAACCAGGTTACTATCTGGGAGGAGATCAACGCAGACGAAACCAATAAAAGATGAAGAAGGAAATTTAATTACGAAAGAAGAGAAACAAAGGAAACAATGGGCTGACCACTTCAAGAAGCTCTTGAATCGACCACCACCACCACCACCTGCACTTCGTCCACCTGCAGCCGCTGAACTACAAGTGAACATAAATCCTCCAACAAAAGTGGAAGTCCTGAACGCCATAAAGCTACTGAAATGTAAGAAAGCAGCAGGACCAGATGGGATCCCGCCAGAAGCACTGAGAACAGACGCAGAGACAACAGCGGACATGCTCACGCCACACCACTATTGCAGAAGGTGTGGAAGGAAGAGAAGGTACCTGGCGATTGATTGGAAGAAGGGTTACCTTGTCAAACTGTCGAAGAAGGGAGACCTCAGAGTTTGCAAGAACTGGCGCGGAATCACTCTCCTGTCCACCCCAAGTAAAATGTTAAGCCGCATCATTCTAGAGAGGCTAAAGGATGCACTGGATTCAAAATTGCGATCGGAACAGGCTGGCTGGATCCAGGAAGTACAAATCATGTGCAGACCAAATTGCAACGCTTCGCATCATCATAGAACAGAGTATAGAATGGCAATCAGCTCTCCACCTCAACTTTATCGACTTTGAGAAGGCCTTTGACAGTGTCGACCGACAAGTAATTTGGAAACTGCTTCATTACTACGGAGTGCCGCAAACCTTTATCCGCCTCATTCAACAACTATATGAAGACGCCACATGCCAGCCAAGTAATTCACAATGGAAAGCTCAGTGATGCTTTTGAAGTGAAGTGAAGACGGGAGTGAAACGAGGTTGCCTACTATACCCCATGATATTCCTGATTGTGGTGGACTGGATCATGCAGCAAACAGTGGGGAGCTGTGAGAAGAGGGGGATACGCTGGCTGGACTGCGGAAAAGAACCTATAAAATCTGGATTTCGCCGATGACTTGTGCCTGATGTCACACAAACTTGAAGATCTACAGGCGAAAACTAACAAGTTGATAGAAGAGGCAGCGAAGACGGGTCTTCAAGTGAATATAAAGAAGACAGAGGTGATGAAGATACCGCACCACCACCACCAATAACAACAAACTCCAGTCACCATCAACGGGAGAAACTTAAAGGAAGTAACCTCCTTCACCTATCTAGGCAGTACTGTTTCAACTACAGGCAGGACAGACGAAGATGTCAAAGCCAGCCAGGATCGGAAAAGCAAGACAGGTGTTCATTAGCCTGAAACCAGTGTGGAGATCTTCTGCACTGCACTCAGCATGTGGAACAAGATCCGGATTTTCAACACCAACGTCAAGTCAGTGCTGCTATGTGATGGTTCAGAGACTTGGCGCGTTACGAGAGGGATTTCCAATAAACTACAGACATTCATCAACAACTGCCTAAGTTGGCTCGTTACTGAAGATCAGATGGCCAGAAATAATAAGCAACAAGGAGCTGTGGGAACGAACCAATCAAGAATCTATCGCTCAACAAATATGTAGAAGGAAGTGGAGATGGATTGGGCATACACTGAGAAAGCCGACTGGGGACATCACGCGTCAGGCCAGGTCCTCGAGGGGAATCCCCATGGGAAGCGACGAGTTGGACGTCCGAGGCGAGGGTGACATGGAGGAGGAAATGAGAGCTTCTGGGCTGTTGTGGAGCCAGGTTCAAAAGATTTCAGAGAACAGAGTTCACTATAGACGTGCTACTGAAGCCCTATGTTCCATTAGGAACCCAAGGGACTAATATAATATTCGGCAATTGACGTGTTTTAGCTGATACTGACTGCAATTACCTGAATTCTGGATACCTGTTACTGTATTGGTTTCTTTTTCAGACGATGTTTTACAAATTACCATATATTCTTCATTTTACTTTTCAATCTAACATGTCTAGTTCTCCATGTTTATTTTATAATTCGTAATTAAACCGAACTGCACCTAATAGGGATTTCATTTGTGTGAAGATACTATTGACATGTTCCGACTTCAAAACGGTAAATATGACATATTTTCAGAGTAGTACTAAAAGTATGTATCGCCGTGTCTCCGAATACCCATAAATATTTTTGCCACAACTGGTGATCCCATAGCTACCCCCCCTTGTTTATCCATATATTTTATCCTGTGGAGACCAGGTACAACTGTACGCCATCAAATGACACTTTAGTCCTATAAGTCAATATTTAATTGATTTTTAACAGTATCCAGTGCTATACTGATTGTTGTCTTAACATAGAGGCTTGTTGAGTCAAACCTACTTTCTTAATCTCCTATTTGTAAGAACTTGAGTTTTAGTTACATTTTGCAAAAATGGATTGGTATACAATTTGAACGGTTTCTAATAAAAAATAATATCGATTCCAGATGCTTAAATAGTTCGTATGTTGAAGCATTTCTAAAGTCAACTAACCGTCTAACGGGATAACTTGCTCAATGAACCCTATAAATATCGTTAATTCTACTAGGATACTCAGTCTTAGGCATCCGATTAAACTATTTGGACTGATACACAGATGGCTACAGTCAAAGTATCAGATCGGTTGTACAGTTCGTAATCTTATTCATGAATGTCTATACGTTCCTAGACCTCTTCATATGGTCTTTTTTGGATGTCCGTCAATTTTCGTGAAATAATCTGATCTGTTCATAAATAATGTTGAAAAACCTGTATCGAATTCGGTGATTACTATAGTATGGTCCTTTAGTAGATAATTCAAAGCTGACGTCTCTAGTTGTTTACAGATTACATCTTGTCTTCTTTTGTTGTTTTCTGTGCTAACACACACTGTACTTATTCAGTGGTTGTCTTATTTATTGATCGTTGGAAATAATCAAAGCAAAATTAAAGCGAAATCACTGTATTGCAACAATCAACCTTTTAGGAAAACCGTGTGAATGGTATGACAATATACTATTGGCGATAACATCTAGCATATCTGTACTGTCTGATTTGAAATATCAGTGGAATTCGAAGAAAGTAATATACATACCCATAAAGGATATAATACATGTACTGTAAAAGAGGCTTGTGTTCGAGAACTGCATATAATATGAGTGCTCACATTCGTATAATGTACCCTTCTCTCTCCAATACATAATTTTAGGATGACTGAAAAAAGAACTGGTATTCATGATAAATGTTACCTTAGAAATAATCTTGAAGAGAACGACTTTGTGAATGTCGTAAACCAGCAAGGTTGATGAATTGGAAACTTGGGTCCCAACAGGATTCATATCAATGACCTAAGGATTAATTATTCGACGCTCTACTAAGGGAACTACGACACCTATGACTTCAGAATCTACGTAGTAAAACCTTTTTACTAATACATTCGGCAATTTTGAAGAACAATTTGTGTTCGGACTTGATTTTTAACGCCAGATGCTTTGATTTCTCCAAAACAAACAACCATGGAGAAAGTGATTTCCCTTCTGCGACTATGTATCGTTAGAGGAGAACTTATAATTCTGTCAGCGTAATAGATATAATACCCTTTCAGTATTCTGCAATAGAATTCCCACGACTACAGGAAACCAATGATACAGCATGCTAACATACCTGTCTAATACCTATTTGTTTCATAATCTAAACGATAGTGATGCAAAAAATCAATAGTCTTAGTCCCATAACATAGAGAACTCTGCACTTGTTTGAACCTTCAACACTACTCTAACACTATTGAAATGTTAAACAGTAACAGCTGCGACAAAGATGAGTTGTTAGTATGAACTTTAAAAATGTGTACGCTTCTACTGGTTCCTTATAATTCGTGTACCTAGATATACTAATAACTCACGATAAATTAATCATCACATTAAGCTATCTCTAAATTTTGACCAGTGAAGTTTTATATTCCGCTTTAGTTTAATTCGCAGATTGGATATGTTAGTATATTTATAGATGAAATAATCTGTTTCCTGTTAGTCTGAACACCATTTAGGCAAATTTACACTACCGCACACATAAATAGTGAGTGAACTATGAAACAAAAGACTCAAATACGCATGTTTTTATGGCATAACCAGGAAGTGCTGCAGATCATGAAAAAAAAACCCCGCAGTACTCTCTGAAAAAATTATTTTATTTAACTGAGAGTATTACACAAGGTCTTTAACGCCTTAGCTATCAAGGGAGCATCACGTTCACGTACAGCTGTATTAATAGACACACTTTCATATATCTGATTTACAGTACGTGTACAAAACACCGGATTGGCATTGAAAAACTCCTGAAAAAAGAGAATCAACACAAAAAGACGATGAATAAAATGTAATACAAACTATGGTACTAAGTAACTTAAGGATCTAATTGACAATTGAATCAACTTATATGGATCAAACTGACTAGAAAAATTGAATTCATTCAAACTATATCTAAGAGAAATTCTACATGAGATTTTCAACTGAGACTAACTTTTCTAAATCCATTGCAGCGTGAAATTTAGACCAGGCCACTCACACAATCGTAAACTTTCAGTAGTATTATGTATTGGTATAATTAGTAGGCAAATAACAGAATTAAAACAGTCCGAATGTGTAAGACGCCTTCTTCGCTTAAAAATGGTTTAGATTCCATATGTAATTAAAATGTAACCCAGTCCAGTACACGTTTATATACTAGGCTATGAAGTACACGTGTTGTTGCCAAAGCCGGAGTAGGTGGAGCGGGAATTGAACTTGAAAGTCGAGTTTATAAACAAATGAACCACATCTCCATTTCAGGTAATAAACCGAGAGTTGCTCCTTCACCCGTTTTCAAGTTGTGTTGTAAAGGATCTACGAAAAAAAGATACCCTAAACAAGTACAACATTATTCAAATATTGAATCTTTTAAAGACATTTTGTCAAGCAGTCATACTAAGTGTTGTCAAGCATTCACAGTAATCAAGTATATTTCAGTTTGTGGCAAATACAACAAATTAGTGAAAACACTGGTGATAAAAAAAGCGAAAAAATGCTTCTATTCAAGACAACCTTAATGGGAAAGAAATAAAAGTAGCCTGTAAAACATGGATATCAAATAAAGACTTACCTTAATTTCTAATAAATGAGCCTGCGTAGAAAATCCTGATAGAACATCCTATAGCAACAAAAAAACAGGTAATTATTCTCATTTCCAAAAAAGTTGGTTGTACTATGAAAGTAGTACTATGAAACCAAAGTAGAATACTCAAATAATCCATACTAAATATGAACTTATCAGTATTTATTTGCCATACAAGCATTTATAACTAGTTTATACCATATGCATTAACAGTTTATTCAGATCACCGTATCTGAGATACCAAAAAACAGCTACACACATTAGCAGACATGCACATCATGAAGAAAATCAACTTGCAGTAATGCTTTAAAGAAAGCTTAAAACGGGCTTTCACAGTAAAATAATAAAACTCAGATTTAAGTAACAGCAATAAAAATCTTACCTCAAGGAGGGTCGGTAGTAAAAAGTGTTTTTTGTACAATTCAGTAATTCTAGTCCATTCACTTTTGATATAGTTCCATGTTGTTAGTCTAGCTGGGGTTGACCATGATGAACAAGCGATTAGACCATGAATTCTATCTTGATCTCTCACTGGACCATTCGGATCCAAACAAAAACGTAGAACATCTAATAAGGGTGAAGATGACGCATCTCCAACATTACTACAATTTGCCACCCGTGCTGCACCAAGAGCCCAGAGAATATGATGACGTTCTTCATGCGATTCTGTGCAACTATATGTCTTCAAAGTATATAAAATGAATGCGAAGATTTGAGTAGGAAAACTAGTGAGCGCTTCAAGAAACATTAAGATGGAAAGATTAAAAATAATTCAACGTCTATAACCATACTACGCAGATGCTTTCCAATTAGAATGAAGCAAACATTTTCAATTTCAAACACGGAAAATAAATTTCCATCTTCTTTGACATTAATACTGCGATGTAATTGGCTTGTATGATCATTCTCACCAGTATTATATCACTGTAACTACAAAGAACACCTCTCAGCGTGGTTAAGTAGAGGTATGGTAAATATCATTACCAGCTCCATATTATAACACTTGGTTGAAACAAACCATAAAGGGTATATGAATGAGTCGTTTTCCACTCTGTACCACGTTCGCGTCAACTTGCCAAAAAATACCCGGCTAAGGATCCTTCAAATTACAGAAGCAGTAGCAACTGGGATCAAACAACCCTAGTTGTGTGTTCAAAACTAGCAAGTGTTACCCCTACAACTACCGTGGCCCGGTTCAGGGCACAGAAACTTGCTACCATCCTGCCTCAAACAATCTAATTCCACAGTGTATATACCCCTTCTTCCCTATAATCTGAACTATTCTCTTAACCTATTTTGTTCTTCTTAGTTTATTCTGTCATAAACACTTTCCGATTGTTTTATTAGACTATCACCTTACACCACCACGTACGCAGTATATTCGTTTAGATAATCAATTATTTTGAATTTAATCTTAGTAACAATTATTTCCATCATAAAAGTTTGCATACAATTTTTCTCAATTGACTTCCTCAACTGTTTACAAACAAACTGATAACTGGAATCTCTATATTGTTGACCTGCAATTCCTGAATGTGTACATATAACTAACTGTAGGACCTGATGAAGAACTTACTGAAAAGAATATTCTTTATCTACTCAAATGGTTTTTATATTGTAATAGGAATTTCTAATGGTTCTTATTTTCCCGAGAAAAAAGTAGTGATCACTAATTCAAGGTAACACAACTGATATTGTGATTTTCATGTAGTATTTATCCATTTATAGTTAATTAGATCATCTTAGAAAGTCTTAATTAGTGAACTAAAAAATATGATAAATTAAATTGGAAAGAAAAGAGTTTTGACAAGTGTTTCAAGAGTTACCACATCCAAGTTACACCAGCAGAGTTATGAGGCCTAAATTTCCCCTTGACCATCGAGTACTCTGTACACTTGTTGTGTGAATGAGAGATAGGAAACTATCCGTTCTTCAACGCACTAGCTGTCTAACCAGGGTTAGTACAGATAGTCTAACGAACAATCAATAAGTTATGAAGCCAGTATTTCATAACGATTTGCTGTGACGAAAAAGGCATCAAAGACTAGCTGGTGTGAAAAAGGAGAGAATACTTCAGCATCATTATTTACAATATTTATCATATTTGAAATTTTGAATATTAGCACTGATTATCGCTAATCAACTTTACTCTGCTTCATAAACTTTTGTCTCCTCTAATTTCATTCTTTTCCGAATCCTTTTTTTGTTGTAGGCTCCTGTGAAGTGTGACAAATTGAAATGATGCATTTCCCTGTCAGGTTTCATGTTAATTAGTTCATCTTTCATAAATATTTAAAATCTGTTTCAGAGATTACTTCTAGTAAAACATCATTCTGTAACTAAGCTAACTCGCAAAATAACTTACAAAAGTATGATGTCTTATGGTAAATCAAGTGTAAATGTTCAAACCTAGGATATGTTGATAGACAATTCACTAATTCCCTATCCACAGTAAACCAGAAAGCATGATTCATCACCTGACAGTTATTTAGTCGAACTACATTAAAAGTCAATTTAAAAAAAGATGAGTCAAACTGCTGAGACGTTAACTTTTATCTACAATGAAAATACTTATATACTTGAATAATCACATTGACGACCAAGGACAATAATAGCCTAGTTAGAACAATTGAATATTACCTAATTATAGAATAAAGTAATCTAACGTAACCTTTTTTAATAAATACCAATGAAAACTGTTGGTAGCACGAAAACTTGTATACTTACATTCATGAGATATGGGATTACATCTCCAGGACCGTGACGTACAACAATCGTGTAAATCGCTGAACGCATATCATTTGGTATTTCTTTTCCACCAGACCGATGATCTTCAAAACGCCGTTTAGCTTCTTGAATAACATCGACATCTTCCGCTTGAGCACCAGCGACTGACAGAAGTAATGATCTGAACATACTAGCATTATGCGATAAAGATTCCGAGTTGTTAAGCAGATCTGAAAAAAAAATAATATGAGAATTACAACCGCGCTGAGCACCACATTCATATGGAGAAGTGCACAACTACGACATTATGTGATATACCTGTTGCTCAAAATTAAAAACTAACAGTCGATATTTAATGAAAATCAAAGAATAATATAAGCACTAATATAGATGTGAAACTTAGGCACTGTGGCAGATTGTAGTTGCAATTTAGTCTGTTTATTCGATGTGTCACATAGTGAAACAGTACCATTCACTCGATAACGTTTCCAAAATAATTTAATGTTCATATTCATATCAAATAAAAATTTACATAATATTTGTCAACGTCTGAGAGAAAAACCTTTATCCCCTGGTTTGATATCCTTCCTACTACTTACACCACGATATTTATTCCTTTGTTTCTTCTCTGATTAAGTTTTCCAGACAGGCCGACTAAATCAACGTAAAACCTCGCACAAAAGTGTATCGCCTCACGTTTTCAAACTTTACAGCAGCATCCAAAGGACAAGTAGTTGGGGGAAAAAGTGATATCAAAAAAAACAAAAATGTACGGGAGGAGAAGAAAATTGAAAATCAAAGTTAGCGAAAATATACAAAGTTTAAAAGACGTCAAACATCGATGATTTGGCTCTTTTTATTGAATTATCAAGCATACACTATTAGAAGTTTTAAGCTTAGTTACATAACATATATGTTAGAAAAACTCCCACAGAAGGCTACATGATTATATTTGATGATGGCCAATGCGGTGTAAACACTGAAGAGTAAACGTTTCTTCAGACAAAAAAAACTACAAATTGCTTACCTAATTCATCTATTACTGGACGAACTAATTTCAGCAGGAAACTATTATAAAGTGTCGAAGGAATGTCACTGGAATGCACAATTCTCTTAATGTATGTACTAAGGCCATCAGCAAGAACACCACGCCAAACAGCGTATTCCTTTTCATTATTCAGTAATTTGGGCAACAGTACAAGCCAATCGTAAACACTGATATAGCCAGCTTTAGCCTTCAAAAAGACATTGATGATAAAACAGTGATGAGAACAGCACTTGGTTATTGTAAACAAATTATGTAGAATATTAATTCGAAACAAACGCAGAAACTATAATCTGACCACGGTCTCATAATAACCACACCACAGCATCAAAACTGTATGGACAAAACCGTTTAGGCTTTGACTCTCACATTGTCAAAGATGTGGAACCGACATGATACGTTATGTTCATATTCATATACATTATGAACAGATACTTTTACATGGAGAACATAAAATGAAACCAATAAATGAAAAGTGTGTGGAAAATTACCACGAAAGTGTTTAAGACGTCGGATCCCGTTAACCTCCGTATTAGGAATCTTTTTTGAAATTCTGAGCTGCTATTTTAAGGGCCAAATCATATTTTCAGCGTTGATCATTGAAGTGTACCCTCCTCATTTAGTGATCTGTTTTGTTATTTAACCTACACTGGGCCAGTCATGAACTGAATAGTTCAGTGATAAAATCATATTAACCCCAACTATAACGTAGATTCGAAACTCAACACGATACTGTTTATAAGCATGGCACTGTGGTTGCTTTACGTATTCAAAATAAGCTGTGATAAGAGAGTAAAGAGTGTGAAACAGCCAATGAAGCCATCTTAATGTGCTTACACGATGTAATTTTTCTTATATACATCCAAGGAGAAAACTACTACTTGAACAGGAAAATCAGAAAGTTTGAAAGAATGAAAACAGCAAGGGAAAGAAAGAAAACCTCACTATTTGAGGACGAATCTACCAACTTGAAGGCTGTCTACAATTTATCCGACCGAAATCTAACAGAACACTAAATTACACTACTAAGAAAGGTTTGAATTTTAATTTAAACAGGAAACCATTTAGCACTCTGGAATTGGCACCGATTATAAAACCAGAATTCGAAAAACTACCAGACAAAGAAGAAGCTTACGTCCTACCGTCATAAGACAGACACCTCACATTCTAGAGAACCAAATATAAATGCCACCGAATATTTCGAAAGTAGAACGGTCAACCCTTGAAAATCGACGAAGAGATAAAACAATCGTGATCACTAGGGAAGATAAAGAGAATGTAACGATGATTATGAATAAAATAGATTATGACCGTCGTAAGGCATTTGAATATCTCTTAATTGGTCCCTACAAGGAAACTGAGTTGAGAAAGCGCCACGTAATGAAGAATTACGTCCAAACAGGAAAGCTTTTAAAAGAACTGGAGCCGTTTATCGGGGACTCATTATGGTTTACTTCATATCCCAAATCATGCGTGTCATCATGTTTATACGGATTATCGAAAACTCATGAACCGATAATGGATTTTATAAAATTTCCTCTATTTCGCATCCATACGAAAGCCTCTCTCTCCAACGTTCTGTTGTAATCTTGATCGAAGATTCTCATGATTTTAACTTAGAAATACCATTGTAGAGAATGAGAATGGTAATTTATGATGTTGCTTTATTGCATATTAGTATTTTCATTGGTAAATGTGTAGATTTCATGGGTGACTTACTAGAGGGTGATCATACGTTGTCAAACAGACCTCCTTCGAGTTTCAACCACATTATTAGAGCACTTCAACCTTGTTTGAATTTGAAACTTTTAAGGTTCAGAGGAAGACTACATAAAAACACAAATAAAGTAGCGATGGCTTCTCCCATATCCCCCGTCGTAGCAAATCTCATGTCTCACAATGAATCTATGCTCTTCACCAACTCAATTAAACCATCTATTTGGTTTGTATATATGGATAACACGTTCGTAATTTTAAAAAGATCATCCTTGAGGACTTAAATTAATAAACACTCGCTCTTCACATATCAAATTCGCATGTGAATATGAAAGTGTAAATGGTGAACTAACCAGTTTTAGAAAGTTTAGTCAAAAGGAATGGGAATGGATTTCTAAGTTTATCAATTTATCGCAAACCAACACATTTGGATCGGTATCTTGATTTCTACCCAGCGCATCCACCCAGTGCTAAACCTTCATTTGCTCTGAACTTATTCAGGTAGGCCACAAAGCTCATCACAAATGAAGATGACAGACATAAGGAAGTGGAAAACACAATAGATGTTTGATAATCCAATAACTATCCTGAGAAAATCATTTAAAAGATTAAAAGCAATAAGCATACAAATCCAGAGGAAATATAAAACAATGAGTCTTGGATCAGAACAATAGTTTTACCTTTCTCCCAAAGGAACGACTGAATTACTGAAGATTTTACTAAAACATAGGATTAGAGCCTTCTGCAATGTAACCAACACTCCTAGGAATACTCTAGCCCATATAAACGACCGAATTCCTTTTTCCTTCACACAGAAGCGCCTACAGATTACGCTGTATCGATAGTGATGCCTATTACAATGGAGAATTATCATGCGAAATCCTCAGTTACGGGAAAGACCATGTAAGCTATACAAAATGACCTGCAAATAATCCTGTGGAACTGAATAATTTAGAAACTAAATCTACAACTGCTGTTCATGATATCCTTTAGAGCCTCAGAGATGACATCAAAAATATTGAAATTATTCAGAAAGGACTTTCAAACTACAAGGAAAGATGGATAGGTAAAGCATTTCACTTTATGCTGCATTCCAATGCATTTAACAGAAAAGAAGGCCTAACCAACTTGGACAATGTATCCAAAATAAAGTGTTGTACACATTGACCATGGCTAAATTACATGCAGACAAATAAACTGAATTTCTCACCTATTTATTAATTTTATCACTTATTTAGACTCATTCACATGTGCACACATCTTCGCCTTGGACTCAGACTAATAACCGGTAACGAAAATATTTATTCCTATATCGATACTAGGTGATGACTGAAGATTAAGTGAAAATCTGGGTCGTGACAGGATTCGAACCAGTGTGGTCTCTGGTTCGAACTACCCAGAACCACTACTAGTCTACCAAACCACAGCTATCCCAGATAGTCAAACTGATATTCGCATAATATCCTTTCTATATGGATATATAAACAGCTTGATCTGATTTGTTTCCATTTACTACTTAAACATGTGATAGTTTGCACAGGTTTTACCCTCAGAAAAAGAGGCTTCCACTAAGTCGTGAAACGTCAGAAATTTGTTTTTGTAGTGCATTCAAATTTTAGAAATACAGTTCCACCATAAGATTATTTATCCAGTGTTCAGTTCTATGAGCTCCAATTTTGATCCAGATGTCTACAAAAAGACTGATTTGTGTTTGTAACGCAGTCGCTCTCCTAGTTTGCAGTTTCCAACAAACTAATTCTCACAAAAGCACAGCGTCTACAAACAGTTTTGGTGTAGTAAATGAGAGAATTATTTTTGGCATATGTAATCAGCATTTCAAATTTTATTCCCTAGGTCAAGTGAGCAGATGAGAGGTCAGGTGTGGAGTCTGAGGTGACAGGGGCAAGTCAGCTGGTGAGGTTGTAAGCCATCATCAACCCAGGTTAGGACATGCGTTACGCATGACTGACTCAAAATGTCAACCGAAGTAGAAACAGTCTGGAAAAGGATTTCAAACGGCCAGACTAAAACATGATATCAGCTCACACTATCTCTGAGTGCTGGTCTGAGTTATGCAAAGGGAATGTAGACTTCCTAGTTGAATCCATGTAAAAACCGAAGTCGGTAGTTGGAGACTCAGTGACATGACTGATTGTCGGTCTCAGTAGAAAATATTCATCCACACCTTAATTTCAATCTACTCATCATACCATATTTCAGTAATTGTTTATCCCGTTTTTTGTTCTTTTTGTGATTCCCTATGACTTTAGGCTACATCTCCTTCCTATTGCTCTACCTTTTCTCCTGTTATCTTGCATCTTTATATGCATCTTTTATATGGAGTTCGGCAACTTGGACCATTATGCAGTAATGCCGGGTGTCATGCTGATAGTGACTGACTGACTTAAATAGCATAATATTAGTTGTGAAGATTTGTTTTTCCTAATCTCATACAATCTTTTCCGAAATGACTGCAAAAGAACACTTACTAGTGAGAATCCATCGTTAATGAACACAAATCGACTAGAGGTACTCCATCCACCCAACTTCATATCATCGACTAGTGTGTTCATCTGCTTTGCATCATATCGTATATGATAAAATCCCGTCGCATCTGCGTTAGCTCGTATTACACAATCATCAGTACCGGTATCTGCAGACCAATTCAAAGGTATATCCACTTCTTCTGATGCAGACTTTAGAATATGTTTGGACATAAATGAATGTTTCCTATCTTTTGTAGAACACGTTAAAACAATTGGCACAGGCCAAAGTTTGGTATCTGTATTTGAATCTGAAAATAAGTTGAATTGAGAATCCAAATTTTATAGAAAATATTTTATCGAGAAAAACTCGAAATATATTATTACATAATACAGTGCAAATATTACCATTGCTTAACATTGAATACACATGTGAACTACTTTTCATTAAGACATCGAAATGATAATCGGTTTAGAACAAGAGCAATGGTGGCAACTGTATACGAAAAATTTACCAAAATTGGTCTAAGAAAGACTTTTTGTCAAACTATATCAAATTGTTAGCACCAAAATAGTTGCATAGGCAAAGCAATCTGCGAACAACAATGTGATTATCAAAGCATTTAAAGCAAACAATAATTATCAGAGTATTCTGTACATTAATCTGTAGTATGCTCATCGTTTAGATGAATGCAGATATTATAAACCATTTTTGTCATAATTTATATGAACAACCATGACCAAAGTTTTACCGAGCAGTATCATAAATAGTAAGTGTCAAGTGCTAAGTTGACACTAAATCTCGGAGTATTTGAAATATAAGAATTCATTCTAATGCTTCATGTAGAATCCTGATTCCAACTTTTTCAGGCAAATAACAGAAATTAATTTCAGGTTGGAAGTCATCATGGACTGATATCTGTTGGAGAAACATTGGAAACCTGGGGAGTACTCAACAGCTGCTCCGTTTATGCATGGGACTCCTTAGTAGTGTGCACCAACGACCCTACTATGGACCAAGCCCAAGACCTTCAGGTTCCGTGGCCAGCACGTTGCTATTGAGCCATTGGGTTGGAATCTAATCATCCACATTTTCTACTTCTGTCAGTTCACGATACAGTGTGGCCTCCATCCAATGCCGTCGTCGACTAACTGTCCTCATGTTCGACTTGGTTGACCCCACGGGTCACGACTTTTTACTGGAACTTCGAGAATCACCTTTCAAAGCTAGTCATTAATGAGCACAAAATAATTCACTTTGGAAGTTTATGGGGATTCTATTGATTTCAGGTTGTTATTCACTATGACAGAAGTAGGAAATGTGGGACATTGGATTCCGACCTAGTGACTCAATGACAACGTGTTTGAACCTGAAGGTCCTAGGCTTAATCCCTGGTGAGGTAGGTCATGGGCGCCCCCTGCTGAAGAGTCTCATACTGGGACGAAACAGCTATCCATTCCTCCCAGGTGTACAATGTTTCTCCAGTTGATGTCCGAAATCAACAAATAAATTCCCACAGACCTCCAAATTCAATCAAAATTAAAGTATCCAAGTTATAAAAATAGAGTGATTTCAAAGGCTACCCTAGTAACCGCTGAGATAACCAATCATTTTTCTTTATTTTGAAAACAAATTCCATTCCAAACGAAATATTTAAAGCTGACTGGCTATTTCAGCAGTTGCTAGGGTGGTCTTTAAAGTCACTCTAAAAATGAGTGCTAAAGCGTGTACTTAATCCCCATGTCAATCCTCTTTTGCAGATATGATCATTATTTTTAAGATATGACTAATGATCATTTAGTGTGAAAATGTATGCGTCTAGAGATATGATGTGTATATTGTCCATCACATCGTACTTCATTGCAAATTAACGAACAGTCACAGATGACATTGTAGTCAACTCTGTAGTTGTTGAGCATTTACAATAGGATATGTATGTCATCTCTGCAAGTCAGTGAGGACGAATTGATGCCAAAATTTTTTCATAGTATTTTGACGATAAAGTAGAAATTGAATAGCAATAATAATGCTGGTGACAACAACAGCGTATCAAACCATTTCAGAATGTTTTCATTGATGCAACTGAATATGAGGGTAAATGACAGATTCACCGTTTCCACTTGTCAATCAATAGTTGCCGTGATGCAGCTAACGTTACTCCAATTCATCTTAACAAATCATTTGGATTTACACATACATTTACTTCTTCGACAGTCAATCCCTCTTGGTATGACCCAAAACCTTTTTATAGATCCCTGATTTCATTAAAATCAATTTTGTGGCTTATTTCTGTCATATAATCCAATCATAGATTTGTTTTCTGGCGTCTTAACAATAGCTGAATTTTTGAGGATAATCATAAGGCTCCCAGATACAAGTTGTACTACTGCAGATGATCATAGTTAAATAGGTTTCCTGCAGTTTTATAAAAGTTATATGATAGCAATAGTGGGTAAAATGAAATGTTTTCGGAAAGGAAACGACAGAATGGAACAAATACACTGCAAGGCTGCTACTTTTCTATCAATACTAACTGTTTGGTAAATAAATGCACTTGTTAGTAGTGAAATGTTAATTTCTTAGTTGAAATAAACCGCGCTAAACACAACCTAACTATTTAGTCACAATTTAGCAATGTAATTAACAGAAAACTTGTAAAGATGCATTTAATGCAGATACAGCTGGAGAAACTTTGTATTCATTGTAAGAGACAGTAAATGACAAATTGTATAATAAATTCACTCTAAAGCCTAGCTGACTGTTCAGCAATCAGGTTAAAACTGAAGTAGGAAGATAGATTATCTTCAATGTGCAAAAAATTTGAACCAAGAAAGAATTCTCTGTGGCACATTTCTTGACCCTCAAACTGTACCAAATTTTTGGTCCAATAATAATAATAATAATCTCTATTAGAATCTTAGTTGGGAAAAACTTACAAGAATGCGTCTAAACCAACCAAACCCATAACACTGCAAAACAGCAGCTTTGCCATTTCTTTCAAAATTCCACATTTGATGTACACATTCTACTAGTTTAGCAACATTAAAAATCTTGAGAATGGTATTCATAGCTAGAAAAGATTTTTGGGGCAAAATTAACCACCATACAAAAATTTGGTAGTCCTTATTAAGATTGCGTAGAAAAGTTAAGATGTTAACAATGAACTTATTTTAATATATGCAAAGATATCAAACTGAAGTCTGGAATAATTACTGTAAATAACTGTGGTATGCAGCACAGAGTGTACTGGTTAGCAAACTGAATTGTCCCCATATATGTAGTCTAACTGAATAGTTATGTGTATGTGTACCAGACTTCGAATAATAGATTTTCAAATTTTTTAATTGAAAGTCATAGATCACAAACAGGACATCGAAGTATGGCACAGCTTCTTTCCCAGAGGAATTCAGTATGTTGGCCGTTGCTTTGCTCCGATTTGTTATTTTCTAGGCTAGCGTAAAATCAGCCAAAATACTCCATGAACTAAATTTTTTATTCCTAATAGATATTTTTCTTCAATACTGTCTAAAGTAGCTTCAGAAATAATCATCTGCTTACTTTCTGTACACAGGCAATCATATGAAGAACATACAAACTCTGTTGGATAGACCACTCTCCTATACGATTATAATGCACTCCCGTTGTCTACGCACTAGATTTGAATTAAGCCATGTCAGCATTTAACGTTCATTTTAACGATTAATAAAATGTCTCAGGTTGCAACCAATTCAATGACACCGAAAGGAAATGAGTTCACAATATCCGTCCTAGTTTGTTATCTATTCCAAAGGCAGACAAGTAAAGACAAAAGAAACACGGAACCTCACACAGAAGTGCATCGGTTTAATCAACTTGCCACACTTCACAGAAGTATTCAAAAAACAAGTGAGTAGAAAAAGTGATATCAAAGTAGACGAAAATGAATGAGAAGAGACAAAAAGAACTTGAAAAATGAAGGTTAGTGAAAATGTCCAGACCTTAGAAGACTACTGGGGTCCTTGTTAAAAGTAAGATCATTTAAAGGGAGAATCAGACTCAAGACTTAATTCAGAGAGTTCGAAGCAATAAAAAATTCTGTACGGAAATTTTTCGTACAACACATCGAATTATCAAATGGTAAACCCACGGAAAGAAAAACCAGAAAACACTGCAACATACTCTTTGTGTACTCCGATCGAAGTGCATACTGTTCTTGTGATAACTGCACTTTAAGTCGGTTGTTGGTAACACTTATTGGTAAGACAGACACAACAGGGAATCCAGCGTTACGAGTCCACGGGCGCATGACACCACCAACATCAACACCTGAAGTTGAGCTTAAGGCGAACCATAGATCCTCTGTGACAGCATTTCCATAAGCGTGTTTTTCAAGGTAGAATGACAAACCGGAACGGAATGCTTCATCACCCAAAAATGAGTGCAGCATGTTAATAAGACTAGCTCCTTTACAGTAAGATATTGTGTCGAAAATTTCGTTAATTTCACATGGATTTGAAACTTCCACCTGAAATGTAAGTATAGAAGAAAGATTGAGCGATTATTAGTGGATATACAACCAACCATCACAACAGAGAACTGTAAAATCTGAAGTTACTCAGTGATAACAGACAAACAAACAGAGCGAAAAATGAATAGGAGAGTGGTGAAAAGTGACAGGAAGTATGTGAATTCCCAACTGGCTATCCTCGCTTTTAACCCCCGTTACCTAGAAGATGGCAAATCGATGAGATAGATACTAGTGACGTATATCAGAAATCTAGAAAAATAGTCAAATCAAAAATACTTGATCCCTTCACACTCTTTACACGTTTATACACATCGACAAAGCCCAAACAAAAAACATCGTTGATTGCAACCAACCACCAGCATTAGAAATAAACTTGATTTCTTAAATCTCAAAGTGATGCAACATTCTTCTCCCATGAAAATTACTGTCAATCATTCTGGGAAACTTCTGGTTTATGAAGACTTCTGTATCAATGATTGGCATAGAGTCTAAAACGCACTATTTAAGTTCGTGTGTTGTAAGGTTAATTTCAAATTCCACATTCCAGCTAACACTTCAATCAATCTAATTAACAATCGGAGGTCACTATCTTCAAATACTTCCACAAGAGCGGGCTATTATGGCTTACTACACTCTCTCTTTCAAGATTACGAAAAACACTGCAGCATTTAAGTAACAGGTGAGATTTTAGTAGGGAAATGTGGTAAGGAATCAAGCCTTTCACAGGAAACATAGGTGAAAAGGGCCTAGTCTAAGAGTAGATAAAAGGAGACAACATATGAAAATTGTATCCGCTGCAACGGGTCTTGGTTACACGGTATATGGCTTTGATTAATAAAATTGTCATCAATACAGCACAGAAACTGATGACATTGTTCAAAAGATCACACGAGGAGTACTTCGTAATTCACAGTCAATTTTCTTGACAGTTTACCTTTAAAAAATAGGTCCGTTCTGTAGCAAAGCAAGAAAGCACCACGGCGCACGCCTGCATGGACGCAGAAAATATCACCTGACAACACACTGAGCACATTTTGAAATACACATAAATAGCTGACAAATCATTACAAACAGATCACGATTGGTCTAAACCTACCATATTAAATAGGTATTCATCTACCACAACTTTATCGAAATATATGCTGCGTATCAGTTTTTAACTCAGGAGATAAACAAAGCCTAGGGTCAGAACTAGAGGTGCAAGTAATACAATTTTAACCTGTTATCTAAATCAATAGTAAGGCAGCAATAGAAAGCGGTTAAGGTATCCTGTACACGTCTTTATGTAAGTCTTTGCCTCCTTTTGTTAATTCCTCTCTTACTGTTCCTTTGTATACATGGAAAGAAGTGGATATTCTGCTTACGTGTCAAGTTTGTGGTTTGAACAAAAGTAAAAACTTAATCAGTACAAATAGGGTTAAGATCAACAGAATCAAAAAATAAGTACATCAACGGTTAAAGATAATTTTTTTTCCGACTTACTTCTATTGGATGTGAACTAGACAGTGAATCTAAACGCAATGCAGATGCCAATCGATGATACGAGAAATGTGTCTAAAGCAAAGAAAAGAAAATTATTCAAAGGTCACATTCGTTTAACTAACTACGAGCATTCCAAATAAATGGCAAACAACAACATGGAAAATCGTATTCTTAAAATCTGTCAGGCTCTAGAATTTAACTGTTTTGTTTAGAAAGAAATCATTGGTTGCGATAAAAATTTTATATATGCTTATTTGAACTGAATTTATTGAATGCTCTTGATCATTAATTTTAAAACTGTTTGTGTTTCGTTAACAGAAGTAGAGATGCTTTATTTGATCACATATTGCCGCTGCTAACACACATGAAGAATTATACATGGAGATAGATTCAGCATAAAAGAGAAAGTGGTAACCTCATATCAAATACTTTTCTTCACATTAAAAAATGAGACGAATAAGATATTGTCAGACAGATAAAATCAACGTAGAACCTGGTTCCTCAATTTAAGTTGCTACACTTCACAGTAGTAAACAAAGAACAAGTGGATAGAATAAGAATGATATCAAAGTAGACAAAGTTATGTGAGAGGATTAACAATCTAAAGGTTAGTATGAATATTCAAGCTTTAGAAGATGTCAAAGAGTAAGTACATCTGCGTCATTGTGACCCGTTTTCAGTCGTGTCATCAAGAGTTCTCAACCACTGATTCCTGTCGACTCCCCACACGACTCGGAACTACAGTAAGAGACTTCACCAACTGACGCTATACAGTGACTCGACGTAAGCGACACATGTTCAAGTCACCTCACCCGATGAAGGTTCACAACCTCATCAATCGACTTGCTTAGTACCCTTCTCCTGACCTCAACACTGATCACACGGTCAAGCCACGAAACACGAGCAATGCTACGAAGACACCTATGATCAAAACACTGCAATCAAGCTAAATTTTGTGTACGTAAACGGAATCTTAACAAACAGTTCCCTAATGTACATTTATAACTCTGTAGAACAGAAAACAAACCTACCCAAATATCCATTTCCGGATAGCACCGATCAGAACAAAAGTATTCTATCCAAGAAGCAAATCCTTCCTTCAGCCATAAATCTGTCCACCATTTCATTGTTACAAGATTACCGAACCACATGTGGGCTAGTTCATGACTGATTATGGTTGTGATAACTTCTTTCGTTGTTGGAGACAATGTATGAGGGTTGGCCAGTAAAGCTCTTTCACTTGAATAACATTCAAAGCATATAGGAGTTTAACTGATAAAAACTGGCTTCACATTTTTTAAATAGACAAACAGACTACACAATATGATTTCCGGAGAAAATCGTTTACGCACACCTAATAAAAACCTCATGATCCTCAAAAATGCAACTAGGAATGGCAGTCATGGTAAAATCGAAGCCAGTACTAATAGAATTAATTATCGATACTCTAGAAAATGACTACGACTAAACGGGTGGACTCTGTACCAAAAAATGATTCCAATAAAATTTGATGCATTAAGTTAATGATGGATCCATCATTAACATAATTAGAACGCAGGCAATATCAAGGCATCCACATAGGAACACATGCACCGATAGAGACCAATCAATTCGGTCCAATCAACGAAGGTATGCTATAAAAACAATTATACTAATTTGATGTATTAAGCTTTTAATAATGTACAAATGTCAACTGATGTAGATGTTTGAGGCCACAACTAAATAGACCGCTAGTTTCCCATGGCTTCCACAACAATTTTAGGCCAATGTTTCAACATCGAGGTAGAAGTAATTCATGCGGTCGAGAATCTGGCCAAAAATTATATTGGAACAGCGGTTGGATGCAACCAAGTCGAGTTATCTATCGAATCAAGAAGATTGAGTTTTACTGGATGCTGTCTTTGCTCCTTTAGGTTTTAATTTACTTAGGTGGGAAAGGTGAACTGTATCACTAAAATCAGCCACGATTGTATTTTGAAACCGTAATAATGAGTAAATTTATGCTGCTGTGTTCCATCATGGTAGTCAAGTGTTTGTTGTAGACAACTGTTTTCGATTTCCTAAACACGCTGGGATTATATTGAAACTTACCTATATAACGAATCAACCTGACTCGGCGCTCAACTTCTTTCAGGATATTCGTAACAACTATGGCCTGGATAATACTGTCAACAGTGCTTAGGCATTAGCAACAAAAATTGTAAATATCTATTGTTCTTCTCATGTGTCACAGTCTTTGAAATGCGCATTAAAACTCTTGTTGTAATCAGCCGTCTTTTTCCTATTTAATGTACAAACGTATGTAGTGCTACTACGAACAGCTGTGTGTACTTTCTTTTTTTGGAATCTTAACACGTAATGATTTTTACTCCATATTTGAACTGCGCAAATACAACTCCAGCCATATCAAAAGTACAGCCATCAGTTTGTCAAGCTTACTTCGAATAGTGACGTGCAATTTTTGTTATAACACACGAATTAGATAAACAAACAGAGACAACGAATTACATTCAGAAGCACTTGAATCATCTCTACAAAATATAAACCTCTTCAGACAGCAACGGTGTTAAACTGCTACAAACATTTATATTCTGCTGAAGAAGCTGTGGCATATAGAGCGGAACGTTCGGAAAAATCTTGTTTTGATTTTCTAAACACGCTGGGATTTCATTAAAACTTACCCATGTAATGATTTATCAATCTCGTTATTTTCTTGTGTAGGAATTTTGATGGAAGGTCATCAACAACAATTCACATGATTCCTACACTTAATATTCTAATAATCCATCCAAAATAGTAACACTAAAGACGTTTTTGTTGATAAGAATAATGCAATAGCGAATTCATTTGAACTTCAACCGTGCCAAGTACTAAAAACACCACACAAACCTTACACCGAAACATGCCGGATAACAGCAGTGATCTGAACTTATGAGGGAAGGAATAATCTAACAGTAACATATACATCTTACCTGATATAGTCCCGAAGACAGGGTGAATCAGTGCAGTAACTACTGTAGTGCAAGTAATTACAACTCAATTTGAAGACCGGCTAAGTAAATGCAATATAAGCACCATCAAGCTATGCAAATTACAAATTACAAAAGACTGTCCCTAAGATCCACACACAGTCCCCTGAAATGTACTAGTGAGAAGGCATTCAGAAGTATATGGAAATCACTGCCGGTATAAGGCATGTTGCGGTGTAAGGTTTGTGTCGCATGACTGACAGTGGTCATTATATCGTCTAAAAGAGGATGGAATGATTAACTTTGATTAATCCCTTCACTTATTGTAATATTTTTAATCTAGAGTGCCGCATTAAGCCTACAACGGCAATATGACGGATACCGGCAGTATGCGAAATTCTCGAGAAAACGATACAGCTAATATGATATGCGACCAACCTTAAGCGGATTCAACGCTATGTGACAACACTAACTTAATTTCTTCCCCAGATTTTTCAAGATGTGTAACCAGCAACTACTAGCTGTTTGAAACCTTTCAGAAGCGGGGGGAATGTTGTTTGGCCATCAGTAAACCCTCTTTTTTGTCTCCTGCTTACCGTTTCTTGACGACAATAAAATATTACCACTTTAAGTCTTTACGCATAATTCTATAAGATTCTGGTTTTAAAAACGGTGCTAACGATTTAAGCTAATACAATATCCTGTTTTTTAACTACTTACACTACCAAAATATCGACCAGTGAAATAGGTAAACAAGATGCATGAGATGCACAAAGCCAAGAAAGCGCAAGCTATATTATGCAAACTGTACAGCGGTAACAGTGTACTTCTTAATGATGAATAACCCACAATCGGGAGTCATATAATGTCTAAGGGTTCACACTGAGTTAGAAATTGAATGCAACTTTATATTAACATCAAAGCTATCTGAAACCCAACACGGGAAACGTTAGGGTCCATGATTTTTGAATATTTTGTTTTTACTCATGTTAGTTTCATCCCCAGTGATAGCTAATAACTTAATGACATTTACCTCTGGGGTTGAACTTTCAAGAACAAATTTGAAAATGATAATAGCACTTTGGAGTGATGTGCTGAACAGAATTCATCAATATGCAGTTTGGTGAACCAGTACAGTAAGAACTCGGTAAACTATGACAATCTGATATCTATTAGCAGTCTTATTCTATGCACTTAGTAGTCACGGTTGTGTTAGTGTAAAGACCAGATATATATCCATAGGCACAGACTAGCACACGTATGGAAAGTGAATGAAGACAACATAGGGAACTTTTGTAACCTCATCTTAGAGAACTGATGTGATTCAATACAATATAGCTGCGCCAAGAGATTCAAGAACATAAAGAAAACATCTGACTTTATGATAACGGATTTAAAATCAACACGGGACACCGATATTTAATAACAATCCAAATCAGCAAAAACCTGTAAATCTTTCTGAATCACTAATTTGCACTTCTATCACGTCACAATCCACTGCTAACGAAAGATAAAAGCGTGTAGTCGAGTGCAGTAATTTTACCTGAATAAATAAAACCAAGAAGATTTATTTCACTTTATCAGAACACGGTGAATCGCAAATGTAACTGAAGTGCACATTCACTAAAAACTTACAATAATCTTAAGCAGTTTCGAGTTAAAAGTAGCGCGTTAGTGAGTGGTAGTCAGCACTTAGCTGAAGTTGTAGCTTAATGAATCGGATAAGACTATCATATATTGTATCACAGATTCAGTTACGATAATCAGACAGTATCAGTAACCATCAAAATAGGGAACATCCACAGGTTATTGCATTTAAGTTTAGCATAATTACATAAAACTTACCGGAAAGTTACAAGTCCCCAGTTTTCCATTGCACCGCCGCTCATATTAGGAACAGCAAGTAAATCGATTTTGGATAGTGGATATTTCATGCCAAAATATTCACCGTAGAATGGTAAACTATGACAAGCCACATTCAACGCAATGGCACCCTCGTTTTGTTTTGAAAGGAGACCTTTCCTTGAATAAACGCGTATTAATACTCCGTTTCTGTCGGTAGCCTGTAGAGCGAATAGTTTGGAAGCAACATTTCGGAATAAACATTACTGATATGACATCAGATCTCTATAGAGCATGATATAAATAGAAGTTTAACGTTAGTACAATGATTTACATAAGCGTCTGTAAACTGGGCTACACACCAAGATGCACAAATATAACGAATAAAAAGTGAGCTAGCATCTTATTTGGAATGTTTAATGTGAAAGAAAACAAATTAACCGATTAAAGAATGTGTCGATAAATTTACACTTGCTTCCAATGATATGTATACACTTTTATAGATGTAGGAGGAAAACTGTTCTACAGCACCTGAAGAGCTTTTCAGCCAGTGTTGTTTGACCATTTGAATTTAAACTTGATGTAGTTTGATTCACATACAGATGATGAACCATACTCACTGATTCCACTACACTAACACACAAAAACTCACAGCGATTATAGGACCAGAAAATATATTATTTTAAATCGAACCTCACATTACACAGTACGGAATGGCCACTTCACCAAAAGATTAAGGAGTTCATAATTTAAACACTAAGCCCTGTTGATCAGAGAAAAAGCAACGAGCCAGATACATTGTTTGAGGGTTAATGATACGTCTTGGCTGTTCAAAGCTCGACAGGTGGAGCTGGGTTTGAACCTGTAACCCACCCGTCGGAAACTAAGTGCCAACACCAATGGGCCACAGCCCCAAAATTATTATTATTATTATCACCGTTATAATAATCTTCCCTCAAGCCTCTCGACTGACATTTCCACATCATCTTTAATTTCTTCCAGCTCTGAAGATCTTGACAACGATCTCAGTTCACAAAGTGGCATCCCTGATCTCAAAAGAACCCTGCTCCAAACTATACACTGAAACTTTCAATGTCCCCATCTTCCATTAAGTCGTACAACAAACTCCCCTAGTCAAGACTCTGGTATCTAGGGCCACGAACGTGTGCTCTTTGTAAGACATGCATACAGGATCCAAGTGCGGTTATTTACCTAAGATAACCTGAACAATATGGTGAGGAAGAAAATTCAGCTTATTTTTGGAGATTTGATGGTTAGTTCTCGAGGTCTTGCAGGTGTATGTTTAGCACTAGGTGCTAAGACAAAAAGTGAACAACTCAACTGAATCTCAGTTGACAGTTGTCTATGTATTGTTGGACTGAACGGTACAGTGAGGACTAAAAAGAATGGCAAAAGTCGTCGTTGTCTCTTTGTAATACCTGCTTACGCACCCACTGACTGCAGTTCAGATGAGTCCTACCAAAAAAATGTTTAGTCTCCTACAAACGTAGAGATGTGGCTGTTGTAACAGGTGGTTTTTCAATGTAAACATGGGTAGACTAAGTCACGTGGCACTTTCGAAATTCCAGCCAAACGAACAGATAACAGCGATCACCTGCTAAAACTGTGCTCAGATAACCAACTATTTCTGGCTAGTACGAAATCCAGACATAAAAAAGTGGCTAGAAAGGTGTAGTGGATCTCAGCAGCTTCTTTCGAATTCATGGATGGAGGCAAATGCATCCCCCCAATCTCCAAGTACAATGAAAAGCGAATGCAACTCAGATGTAGACTGAACAAATTCTACACAATGATGGCGAACAGTGGCAGGCAGCGAAGGTTAAAGAGACGTAACAGTTGACAGTTATTTAGTGATCACGAAAACTGATAGAAAAATTCAATGGTTAGCAAGACTATAGCAAAGAAGTGTGGGTCAGCAATGTACACGGAGAAGAGATGATTAGAAGAATGGGTAGGAACACCTCAACTCCCCTCCAGCTATTATTCCGTTGCTTGCTATCCCGTGAGATCTTGAATGGAACATTGAGATAAGACCCTTAACACATAAGAAATTGAGAAAGCTGTAAGCTATCTGAAGCGAGGAAGAGCAACATGGCCAGATACACTAGTAGCTGAGACATTTAGAATGGTGGTGGTGGACCGTTGGTCAAGTTAACTGAAGTGCTCTCTAGCATAAGAGAATTATACATGATTTCCTCCGACTGGCCCCAATCACTGATTGTCCCAGTCTTCAAGAAAGGTGAGAAGTCCGCTTATGATAACCGGTCAGATGCAAATAGTGCCTAAGATTCTAGGTTCTATAAATACCAAACGTTCAAGCGGAGCTGAAGAACAGCAAACCCAACAAACGAGGCAGATTTCAGATCTGGCTGAGTGTATCGACCAGGTATTCACACTCCGCCAGGCTCTGGAACACAGGTACACTTACCAACGCCCAACATTAGCAGCACTCTACTCCGTCTGCTGATAATTTTTATGCCAGTGTCTCTTACTAGGATTGATGCTGAGTAAGCACAATACTTTGTTGAAAGTTACTTACTTGAACACCCATGGGTGTATTACAGCCAGTGGCGAGTTACCACGTAAGTGGTGTCCGTGGATGATATCCACTTTCCCCATTCTTATTTAACTTTATCATAGACTTTTCTATGGAGGTCTCCCTCTCGTCCCCTGACTTCACAGGGATTGATGTTATCACAGAAGAATCCTTAGTAGACCTGGAGTACGCAGAGGACATAGTCCTGTTGGGTGAAGATGTTGACAAGATGCATCTGGACACCTTGAATAGCAAGAATGTTTCGTATGCGTTTCTCGCCACCCAAATTCAAACTGTTGCTCCAGGACTGGTCTTCACTACTACCCTGTCCAGCAGCAGAGAGTGAAATGGTTGAGTACGTTGACCAGTTTATTTACCTGGGAAGTCATATCAGCCCTGGTGGGTCAGGGACCGACGAAATCTCATTACAGATATAAAACACTCACTTAGCTTTTACCAACTTATGCCATGTGGCGCCAGCGATATATCCGACTGGGTCGAATGTACTGTGCTGTAGTTTGCTCTGTTCTGCTGTGTCTCTGAAACATAACCACTGAAGGTACAGGATATGAGAAAGCTTCAGGAGTTCGATTGCCGTTGGCTTTGTAGCATCGGTTGTCTGTCGTAAAGCACTTACTTCAATATCATTAAAGTCAGGCGTAGTTTCAGGTAAAAGAGTAAAGTCACTTGATGAGATCAAGAACCTTTATCGACTGAGGAGGCCCGGACGTATGTTACGCATATTTAGTCACCATTTGGCCCTTCACATAACGTTAGTTGAAATAGGTTCAGGCTGGAAAAAGGTTAGACGTGGACAGACTAAAATATGGTATCATTGCATGAAATCCTCGACTGCTGGACTGAACCGGGTACAGGAATGTAAACTTCCCGGTCACTGTCCGCGTGACAACAGAAACCATTAGTTAGATACTTTAAGTGACATAGCTCGAAATCGATGTTAGTGGAGCAGTTGTATCCATCCAAACGTTGACAGTATCTTAGTCATAAAACTGCATTTCAGTATTCTCTCACTTTCCTTGCCCGCTTTCGATGACGTTTTACAACTTTTAGCTGCCTTCTTTTTTATTTTTTGATCTTTCATTCTCGTTTTATCTGACGGGACGTGAGGCAACCTAGACCGCTACACAGTAATCCTAATTCTGGTGTTGATTTTTTCTTAGTCGTCTTTCGGTTGTAGCTTGCGATCTTTTTCTGTTCACCCTAATAAATCAATGGTGAGTTTTAGAATGCAGACGTACTGTCAATGATGTGCTAAAACTAGACAGTTAAGTGGATATTTGGGACTGGTATTAACCAACGATTATGAACGCAAAACATAGACTGGTACTTGAACAACAGCAAAATTGAAAATCGAATTGATAAAAAACAAAGAGAAAGTTACAGTTTACACTTACTTTAATTTACAGTTTCCATAACACATTATACAAAAATACAATTCGCAAATATCGCACAATTACAATGAAATGATCATCTGTGCCGGCAGCTATCCTATTAAGATGCAATCATACCTCAAAAAATGACAGCACTACTCTTACACATTCCTTCTCAATAGCTTAATACGGTAAGCTATCTCGAGACTATTAAATTTTTTGAGATTAGTTTTTCTATCCGAAGTTATTAGTAATTGTTCAGTGTATATTGAGTCTTGATTTTAAGATACAACACTAGGTAGTGTTCTTCACCTGGACTGTATGATACCTACCAGTAACAAATAATCGCATTTCAACCATGATTATGAAGGGATTCTTACTCGGTGGTCTTAAGTGCAATGTCAACGTGAGAAAAAATACTGTCAGGATTCAGACAAGACTACATCACCTTAGAGTCTATAGCGGGCTAGAATCTAATAGTGATTTACGATCTTCTGTTTAATTTCCCGAGAATAAACCGATTCACTTTGTTCTTCATTATAGACAGCTTTACAAGCTATCACCAAACTTTTTGAGGGCAAAATCTGAAGGATACACCTGGGACTTTAGGTTGCAGTTTGCATCACTACCCAACTCAGTATCTTTAAATTTATAACCGAAAGTCATCTAGGCTGATAGTTCGGCTGACTACAGATATAAGTAAACAAATGTTTTACAAACGGATTTAAAATCAAATATTTTGATCAGACAGATAGGGAGCGAAACAGAAAACACTTTTCAAGTCTAAGTACTGGTTAGATGAAAAAGAAAAATCTCTGGATATGGGTGGAAATGTTAAGACATATAGTTTTACTGAACATTCATGATGAAGTGATAGCCACATCCATAAATCACGTTCCCGTTGCATCATTAAAAAAAAGCAGATAAACTAACCGCAATTTAAGTAACTTAAAAAAACGTGGTGAAAATTAACACACCTTTCTTATTTCGATGTGAGACGAACCTAAGTTTGACAGTAAGATTGTAAAGCGCCCTGCTGGATAAACAACCAGCTGACTGTGAAAGAAGACATTCAAGTAATTTCATGCCCTGAATGAATGTTTTTCAACAAAGTAGGATGTTGGTTAGGTTCAAACGAAAACCAATTGGTCAAAGCTCTTTTAACTTATATATCAATGATATTTTGGAGTTTTAAAGATTAAAACAAACAGCCAACGAGAGATCCGAATTTCCTGTTAATATAACTCACAATACACACGCACAGACCTTTAAGTGGTATATGGTGCAAATATTGATTGCATTTAGTTTTTCCCCACTTAACAGATATGAATTCATATCTGAGGTTAACAAATGCATTTAACTTCTCAATGTTGTGGAGGAAAATTTTTCTATTTTGACCTCATTCAAAAAATGCTAAAGTTTAGCTTAGAATTTTAAAGTAGTTTTGAAGTTCGGATAGGAAACATGCATCAGCTGCTGTGGCTGAGGAATGTGCTATGCAAGCAACTTACCACCAGTCTTGCGATGATTGGATTAGGATGAGGGTCGGAAAAAGTTGGATGTAATCAGATCAAAATATGACGCCAGTGATCTAATTTTTCGTCTTATAATTTTGTTGGGATCCTTGAGGCTATAATATTCAATTTAAAATGATGCAGTTGCTATGAATGTTTACGTGGAGTCACTATATTAATATTTCGATCTTGAGAACAGATAAAAGCCATCAATATATACCTTTCCGAGAAAATGCATAGGTCCAACCCACTACATAAATATTGCTTCATCAAGCTGCATGTTCTTGAATTCATTTATACATCTTTAATATTTTAATATTGGTTATTCTCCTGAAGAAGCCAAGACTAAACTTCCGTGCGAAACATTGGAACTAATTTATTTTAAACAGGGTGAAACATACAAATACTACCCATCTCTAATGTCAACTTTTAACTTGATGACCAATATTTACGAAACTATTTGGTCAAATTTTGATTACATTCTATTTGAATTCACTTTCATGTCTGAATTATAAATACTTGTGCTTAAATCCTCACAATCATTCACTTCTACGGGCCAACAAATAATGCAGATCAAGAGAAGGAGGAATTCAACAGAAAACTGTAATCAGTACTAGACAAGACTCTAGTTGGCGACATGAATGCCGAACTCGGAGCGAACAACACAGGAAGAGAACTAACCATGGGTCGAGAAGCACTCGGTGAAATGAATGAGAGCGGAGAACTGTTTGCAGACATCACATTCAACGATTTGGTGATTGGAGGCAGTGTGTACCAACACAAGGATATTCACAAAGCGACATGGATTTCATCAGACACCAGGACACACTAAAAATCAGATCGACTTCTTCTCAATGTGAAGAAAGTGGAGATGGAGACGCAACCTACTGGACACAAGATGAAGAAGGGGAGCAGATGTAGGTTCACACCACTCACTATCTAGTACAAGGAACCTACCTTCCAAATCAAGTTGAAAGCCTTCAAAGAAGTTGGCGACAGACCACAGTTCAAGTTGAACACCCAGAAACTGAAGGACAAAAAAACAAAGGACACCTTCACATCAGCCATCAGAACAAAGTGGGAGACATTGAGCAACATCCATAAAGGAACCTGCGTGAAAGAACACTGGAAGTCTTTGAAAGAGATGTGGAAAGAAACCTGCATAACCGTATTAGGAAGGAAGAGGAAACAAGACAAGGAATGGATGTCGACAGACACATGGAAGCTGATAGAGCAGGAAGAGGAGGATGGTGAATCAGAAGACAAACCAGTGCAAGGATGAACAACGAAAAGAAGAACTGAGTACAACGTATAAAACCCTACACCGGATAAACAAGTGAAGAAGAGTGCGCGCAAAGACAAAAGACACTTCTATGACACATTGGCAAGTGAAGCAGAACAGGATGCCGCTAGGAGAAACCCGACAACATCATATCAAATAACCAAGTTACTATCCAGGAAGAGATCAACGTAGACGAAACCAATGAAAGATAGTGAAAGAAAACTTAGTTACCAAAGAGGAGAAATAAAGGAAACAATGGGCTGATCACTTCAAAAAGCTCTTGAATCGACCAGCATCACCACCACCTGCAACTCGTCGAGAAATACCATCAGCAACGGCAGAACTACCAGTGAACACAGGCCCTCCGACAAAAGTAGAAGTCTTGAATGCCGTAAAGTCACTGAAATCCGGGAAGGCAGCAGGACCAGATGGAATTTCTCCAGAGGGACTGAAAACAGACGCAGAGACAACAGCGGACATGATCACACTACTACTGTAGAAGGTTTGGAAGGAAGGCAGGAAAGGTACCTGCAGATTGGAAGAAGGGCTACCTTGTCAAACTCCCAAAGAAGGGAGACCTAAGTCTTTGCAGGAACTGTCACGGAATCATGCTCCTGTCACCCCAAGCAAACTATTATGCCTTATCATCCTGGAAAGAGTAAAAGATGCTCTGGATTCAAAATTGCGACCGGAACAGGCTGGCTTCAGGAAGAACAAATCATGTGTGGATCAAACTGCAACGCTAAGCATCATCATAGAACAGAGTATAAAATGGCAGTCAACTCTCTACCTCAACTTTATCGACTTTGAAAAGGCCTTCGACAGCGTCGACCGGGAAGTAATTTGGCAGGCAGCTCCTTCAACACTACGGAGTGCCAAAAATCTTTATCAACCTCGTTGAACAGCTATATGAAGACACCACATGCCAACTGATCCACAATGGAAAGCTCAGTGACGTTTTTGAAGTGAAGACAGGAGTAAGACAAGGTTTTCTACTATTACCAATAATCTTCCTGATTGTGGTCGACTAGATCATGAACAAAACTGTGAGGAGCAGGAAGATGTGCATACGCAGGCTTGACCGGTGAAAAGACCCTAGAACAATCGGATTTCGCCGCCGATGATGATTTAGGTCTAATGTCTTGTAGCACAAACTCGAAGATCTACAGGCGAAAACTAACAAGTTGACAGGAGAGGCAGGACAGCGAAGACGGGACTTCAAATGAACGTAGAGAAAACAGAGGTGATGGTGATACTCAACCAACGCCACCACCGACAACAACAAGCTCCAATCACCATCAACGGGAGAAACTTAAAGGAAGTAGTCTCTTTCACCTATCTAGGCAGCATCGTTTCAACTACAGGTGGCACAGACGACGATGTCAAAACCAGGATCGGAAAGACAGCAAGACAAGGTTTCATTTATCTGAAAACAGTGTGGAGATCTTCTGCACTCAGCATAAAGCGTGAACAACATCCGGATTTTTAACACTAATGTCAAGCCACTGCTTCTATATGGTTCAGAGACTTGGCGCGTTACGAAAAGCATTTCCAACAAACTACAGACATACATTCATCAACAGCTGCCTACGCTGACTCGATACTGACACTGAAGACTAGATGGATTGCCAGAAAGAATAAGCAACAAGGAAGTCTGGCCTGGCAACGAACCAACCAAGAACCTATCACTCAACAAATATGTAGAAGAAAGTTGAAATGCATGGGATTGGGCATACACTGAGAAGGCCAACTGGGGACATCATGCACTAGGTCAGGTCATCGAGTGGAATCCAAAGGGGAAACGACGAGTTGGGCGTCCGATGTGAGGGTGACATGGAGGAGATGGTTTGAGGAAGAAGCGAAAGCTTGTGGGTAGTCGTGGAGCCATGTTGAAAAGACTGCAGAGAAGAGAGTGCAGTGGAGGCGTGCTACTGAAGCCGCATATCCCACTAGGAACTCAAGGGAAAAAATAATAGAATACTTAAATCCTAGAAAGCGAAAAGCTTTGAGATTAAATAAGGAGTCTTACCACCAAACGTAAAAATGTCCTTCAGTTACGTGACACTGATCATCATGCTCAACGGTTGTTGTTATCTACTGTTTAGTCAGCCCTAGGTAAGATTTACACAACGACTAACCTGGTTTACAACATATTCATTATTAATACGATGAGTGTATGAGCACAAAATCTCAGAAATAAGCTATCAACTTAATCAAAAGGATTAAGACCCCAAATATTTAACTTAACTTCTAATCAGTGGGTCCCCATTTTCGACCTAGCTTCACCTACTCCAGCTCGGACAATCAGGCATTATTAAATGTTTTCCCACAGTATTCCTTATAACCTAATAATAAACACCTGTACTAAATTTTCACCCAACGGGGCCAAGTGCCAATTGGCTTATAGGTGAAGAATGATTTAGCGTACACTTTACACACTTTTACTATTGACCAATAAAGATGTTATTGACTCTAAACATGGTAAACACACCTAAATACTGATATTTTAGAGTCCGATATGTTAATATCAAATAGTAGTGGCACATCACTAAACAATTTTAATCTTACCTCCGTGTATTCGAGATCACCAACCGCAAAGGCAACCAAATATGTCGACATCTTTGGAGTGTCTTGGAAGTGGAAGGCAATCACATTTCCATCGCACTCAACTTGCGATAAAAGAGGCTAAATATAAAAACGACTACAGTAAACACATTACCACAATAAACAGGATAATATTATGATTGATATGCTTTATTGCTTCATGAAGGTTGGTAGTATACTTATAATTTCAAATTCAGAGAGCTGTCATCGGATACAAGCACTAATATTAAATCCTGCAGTAAGAGGACTTCTCACCTTATCTGATTATCCCACTTTTCAAGAAAGGCGAGAAATCCTCTTGTGATAACCATAGAGAAATCAACCTGACGAACATAGTATCCAAAATCCTAGATTCTATAATTCTCCGACGTCTGAGTGGAGCTCGGGAACAACAAGCCTGAGAAAACCAGGCAGGCTTTAGACCTGGCCGCGGGTGTATCGACCAAATATTCACGCTGCGCCAAGTCCTGGAACATAGGCATGCTTACAGACGCCCGACAATAGCTGTATTTCTCGACCTACAGGCGGCATTCGACTCCGTTGATCGAGAAGTCTTTTGTCAATGTCCCTCACTGAAAGGCGTGCCGAGTAAGTACATCACCTTAGTGAAGGCTCTCTACTCGAACACTTGTGGGCATGTTAGAGCCTATGGTGAGATGTCCAGGGAGCCATACTCATCGAGTGGTATCCGTCAAGGATGCCTACTATCTCCATTCTTATTCAATTTCATCATAGATATTCTCTTGAAGGTCTGTCTCTCGTCACCTAATCTCAGGAGAATTTTCGTTAGACCTAGAACATGCAGATGACATGGTCTTGTTAAGTGAAGACGCTGACAAGATGCACAGTCTTCTGAACACTTTGAGTGGGAATTTGAGAATGTTTGGGATGCAGTTCTCACCACCCAAATGCAAATTGTTGCCTCAGGATTGGTCTTCAATGGCGCCACGGCTAACAACAGGGAGTGTAGTGGTTGAGTGTGTTGACCACTTCACTTACCTGGGAAGTAGGATCAACCCCACCCTGGTGGCTCAGTGGTCGATGAAATCTCTGGCTGGCTTTTGCCAATTTGCGCCACCTATGGCACCGCCGTAATATCCGTTTGTCTAGTAAAGGTCGCGTGTACCGCACAGCAGTCCGCTCTGTTCTCCTGTATGGCTGTAAAATATGGCCATTGAAAGTGGAAGATATAAGAAGGCTCCAAGTGTTTGACCACCGTCGCCTTCGTAGTATAGGACGTATTCCGTGGTGTCACCACGTGAGTAATGCAGAAGTCAGGTGTAGGTGTAGAGTTTTAGGGAGAAGAGGTAAGTCAGTTGACGAGGTTACGAAACTTCATCGATCGAGATGGTTGGGACACGTACTACGTATGCTCAGTCACCGACTGCCTTGTCACACAAGGTTGGCTGAGGTGGGTCCAGGCTGGAAAAAGGCCCGAGGTGGCCAGACTAAAACATGGCACCAATGCATGAAGTCTCTAACTGTTGGTTTGAGCTATGTAGGGCGATGCAGACTAGGTGGTTGGGGTCCGTGGGACAAGAGGAACCAGTGGTAGAGACTCTAGGTGATATGGCTCAGAACCGATGTCAGTGGCGCAGATGTATACACACATTATCCTCATCTTAACTACACTATACCGAATCTCACCATTTTGTCGCTCCTCTTTCCTTTCGTCTCGTACTTTATCTTTCTTCTGACTGAATTTTCTTATCTTCATCTTGCAGCTCACTGCCTTCTTACTTGATATACTGATATTAGCTGTGGCAACTCGGACAGTTACGCAGTAATGCCTGGTCCTATGTTGATATTGATGATTTATGATGACTGCAGCAACTGAGCTCAGAAAAATACCACCACGAATTTCAGTCTTAAGTAGAGACATTCTTGATGAGGTTTTCAACTCAACAGTGGACACAAATTGACCATATTGTTACCGTCTGTTGCTGGAGAGTGGCGGCGGAAGGCTCTCACTCCTTCTGAACTACGTGTCTGGAAAGTGATCAAGTGGTAGTTCGAGCAAGTCTGCCTGCACTTAAATGGATGAGGAAAAACTGCAGTTGAAAGGAAATCCCAAGGGTAAGCCAGTGGTGATAACACTCAGACTGCCCTCAACGAAGAACCGGATAGACAATTATCGGAAAAGGACAATATATCTCATCCCGAAGAACCCCTGGTACGACCTACAGTCTGCATTGAAAACAGCTTTGAAGACCATAACTAGTCCTTAGAAAAAGGTCAGAGAGGATCAGTGGACTTCACCAGCTTTGTCTGAAATTGGCAACAGTCCGTGAAATCCCTAACTTGGTCTGAGCCGTGTGGCGAGATGCAGACTACTTGGCAGGTGTCTCCGATACGATAGGAATCAGTGGTTGAGAACTTTTGATGACACGACTGAAAACCCGTCACAATGACGCAGACGTATTCACTCTGACGTCTTCTAAAGCATCAATATTCAAACTAAACTTTATCTTTAAATTGTTAATCCTCTCACACAACTCTGCCTACTTTGACATCACTTTTTTCTATCCACCTGTTCTTTGTTTACTGTGAAGTGCAGCAACCTGAACCGATGAATTTGTGTCCAAGGTTCTACGTTGGCTTTATCTGTCAGTATTCCTGAAGGTTTCGAGCACAGAGGGGAGGAAGACAGATGTAGAGTGAAAAAGTTCACATAATGACTGACCGGTGATGAGCAGTGAAGGCTTTAGAGGTGGGAAAGACAGTGTTGCAAGGTAAAAGCAGTCTGGTCGGGAAAACGGGCAAAAAACTCAGTGGTGAGTAAAACCACAGCGGAGAAGGATGGGTGTGCGATTTAATCGCATGAGACGACTGGAAAGACAAGTGGGACACTTCGACGAACAGTTCAACTAGCCTCTAGCTAGCTGTTTTTATGCAGTACTTTAAGATGCCTTACGTAAGTAGGAAACTGTATCCAAATACTTCTTCGTTAAATCACTTAGCAACCCTACGGAGTGACCGTCGCATGCGAAATACTTTGGCTCCAACCATGTTTTTGTGCTGCTGTTTTCAAATCCAGTGGTTTAATAGGAAATGAACCCTTGATAACGCATTCAAATTACTTGTTCCGATGTGTAAACTTATGCAAGATTCAACAGATACTAGTATCACATTATCTATATTACTGAAGCAGTGAAAAGTAAGAAAACTGACGATATACCGGAGGAGACATACCATATTTGAAACTGCCGTTAGTCCTTTAGGCACAAAAAGTTTGATACTAAAAACGGATTTGAAATCTGGTTCGTCCAAACAAGGAAAGGCTTGTCTTGCACCGGTAGCCTAGACTCATTAAAATCTGGAAATATTTTACTTCAAAATCTGTCGAAAATAAATAATGGTCCTCTTCCCCAAGTTTATACGAACTTCGGTAAAAGCCTTCCATTTTATCGCTTATCTTCCCAGTATAATCTACTTCAAGCATTCCTAAACCTGGCTAAAACAAGTAAAAACAGGATGTTATGCAAAATGTATGCATACTAATGAAGGTTGTCCAAGGATAAAAGTAACTTGCTCATATTCAGGTTTTTCGACAACTTCAACGTCAACTGCAGACACAAAAAAGAGTAGAATAATATTAATGACTTACTTCCATTGAACTTAGCACTTTTGATTGATAAGTGCTTGATATTTAACACTATATCCAAAATACTCTCGGTAACCTGAGTATTACGTTAACTGAAAAATTCCTTACTGACAGTCATGGACAAAGACAGCTTCCCAATAAATGTGAAACTCGAAAAACATGGTTTCATCTCTATTTCATATTTCAAAGGGATGACAGATCGTGGAAGGCGGCTAATTGCAGAGGATGTCATAATGACAGATCTCTGTACCAAAATTTGATCTTATACGGAACTTCGACAGACCTGACAACATACGGTTATACAAATCGTAAGCTGTCAACTACGGCACTACATAAATGCACTGACGCACTTGTAGGTCACTCGGCTTGTAGGCTATTGGTGGAGATACATGTGCCTTGTTATTCGCGGTCATCTGGAAAAAGCGATAGAGGCTAAGTTATCCTCAGATGTAATAGTGTTCTGTGCGGAAAAATATTTTTTCTGCCTTTTGTAAGCATGTATTTTGAAGTGAAAACTGCAATCATGAGTATTTTTCTGTAGTTTGAAGGCTCATTAACCTTTGATTTGCGAGCTCAGTTCTTCGTAAATAAGTGCACTTACACTCCAACTAGGAGGTGAAAGTCCAACCAATACTTTGAAAGTGAATAAACGTTATGAAACACTATCCAATGACAAAGTGTGTTTCATAAATTATAAAAGTACGTGAAATCCCAGTCTGGCAAAAATCGGGAAGTGAGAGGGGAAAGTTAGAAAACAAAGGTAAAAGTGGACATTGATGGGAATGCTGTTTATGAAAGATACAAACAGAGAGGGAAAAGGGAAAAATTAGATTTTCGGACGACACTGAGGGGGGGGGAGGGGGAAGCCGTAGTGCAGCTGCCAAAACCGTTAGGGAAACCATTAAAGAGAACAGAATATATGCGACTAATAATTATATTACCTTTTAGTTTATTTCACATGCACTTCTGTACTCAGTTGCATGAATAACTCAGCAAATATGTGCTCGTTTAAGTTCATTAGAAATACTTTTGTTAGTGCATTCCACGCCATCCGTCATTTCAACGTGTATCGTGGAGGTGACTGGCATGTGTTTATCACACAGAGCGTCGTTTTATTTTCACATTGGTTAATATCTGGAATTTAAAGACCCATCTTTTACTACAAGACTGAGATCTGTGCTGTTGTAGAAGTGTGAGCATGGTCACTGGTTTACGTTTTATGGACGATGCAAACGATTTTGTAAGGTCATTTCTGAGGAGCTCGATCGAAAAATAGAGAAGTCACTTGATGACAGTGGCTCCCACCACTAGCAAGTTAGCTAATTTAACGTCGATAAATGAACTGGTATGACTACAGAAAGTCCAAGCCTGACCCGTGCAGTTCATTGCAGTCACATTTCAGTTGGCAGCAGCAGTGATGGGGGCATTTATCAACATTAACTACTTACGCGTAGCATCTAAAGACTGCTGTACCTTCTGCCCTTGTAGACAAGACCGAAAGTAAAAGGGAACGAATAAGAAAGATCGTTATGAGTATGATGCTGCGAACTAACACCACTCATGCAGACGGTGACGTTATTTTGAAAATTTTCCTCGAAGAATTTTCTCAGTTGCCTCGTAGTATTCGTGGTGTATTACGAAGGTGTTGTCGGTGTGAGGCAAGAGTTATAGGATCAGGAATCTATTACCATATTGGAGTGAAGAGTAGTCTACTTGGTCATGTACAGCAGCGGCTGGGTTTCAGTACTTTTAATGAAGTTGAACTGCAGTTGAACTACGATAGACTACCACTTTCGAAGAGTTCTAGTCAGCCTTTATTTGGTACACTATGTCGTCCATATGTTAGTGTTTCCCCTAATAGGTATACACGGTGGACTACACAAGCCATTAGGCCTTGATGAACTGTCCGCTGACCTGATAGCAGAGTTAAGACCATTAATACTGGGGGATATTAAAACTGACAAGGTTTTCAAACACGTATATGTGAGACTTGTTTCAGCTATCTGTGACTCACTAGCCAGAGCGGATGTTCAATACATAATAGGGTATAGTGGGACACCAGGCTGCGACAAGTGCGTGGTTTCCGGGATTAAAAATTCCTATCGTATGACCTTCCCAAATGGTTCGTTTACCCTGGGGACTGATTGCAACTTTCGTCGTCAACAGTAATGTAACCATCATCGTGGTAGGTCTAACGACGGTTTGCCTATCAACATGATAAAGCTTTTACCATCCTCACCCAGGCAGAAAAGGTGTAGCTAAAAATCATCCTGAGGTGTTATCGTGACAGATGAGGCTTTAAACTGATTGTAAGAAAGAGTTGAGGATAGCGGAGAGATAACCCAGGAAGACAAACATATATGAGTAAAAGACAAAGAAAAATGAAGTGATGGGGTAATCTACGTACATCAAAATGAGACGAGAGGAGTGCAAAGAACTTCAGAACTTAGGCGAATGAGGTTAAATCAAGGCCGGTAGGAAGGATAGAAAAAAACGCACACGAGTTTTTGACCTTTGGTGGACGATTCTCTTAGGGTAACCGTGAAGGTCACTGTAGTGGCCATTCAGTAGTATTCCTCCGCTCGGGTGGCTTGGGTTATTTAGCATTTTGTAAACCATTATCGGATGACCTCGTAACCTTCGGCAATTGAGAGGGCATAGGCCCGGGTCTTTAAGTCTATCCTCGTAGGTTTTTGGTGCAGCCTTGCAACACCATTTGTGGCTCGCCTCTGAACTTTCCCCGGAAGGTTCGTACCACTTTTCGGGTGTGGTGAGGCGAAGACATAGGGGTCTTATGCAGGTCCTGCGGAGTTTCAAAAAGAACTCTGAAGTAAGGAAACTCAGCTGTCTGCCTTCAAAATTGTGCTTTAGCGGCATCTTCCGGGTAACTGGAACTGATGTCCACTTTCTCCGTCACCGTTAAACCCATTTCTTCCTCTGCTGTGGTATGAGAAAGATGCAAACCACAGAGAGAGTAGGATACTTTGTGTGGACCGGGAGTGCGGAAAAACAGCGACCAGTGGAGTTTGAATCTGGACGTTCTTAACCAACAGATGGGCACCAGTCAACAAATAATCCAGTTTAGATGGCTTATAGCCTGACCCTTGGGAGGGATCGTCTCTAGCCTTTCGTACAGCCCACCCATTTGGATGCTGGTCAGCAGCTGATGATCGAACTTCCGGCTCAGAGTCGTGCTGACTTGCTTCAGGCTGAGAGTCGGGACGTCGAGGTTACCAGCTTTTAGGATCTGATCATACACCATAGTCTACGCTGTGGATATTACCTGAGTAATTTTTGGTTGTCTCACGTTGCCATTGGGGAACCTACAGACTCCAAGCAGATATTTAATGTGTCTGACCGTCAACTGGCACCAGGCCGAGTCTGGGAGCTCTGTGAATACAATCTCAGTAGTTTGTTCACTTTTGGACCAACTGTTCACGTATATTACAACCCCCTTCCGTCCTTACGTCCCTTGTTACTTCTGAACAAAAGCACGTTATCAGTGTTAATTTTGGTGTCGCTAATGTGCGGCGATTGCCATGTTCCCGTCACGATCACAATTTTAGAACAAGATGGGAACGGAAGGATGACAGCTCTGATATTACACTTCGGAGTCCCCTCACCTTGCTGGGAAGGCACTTGGAAAGGCCTCTCGTAACGTGAGATATTTCTGGGTCCGCAAGCAGCACAGGTTTGGATGTGGTGGGGTTTTTGCCGACCGGCCGGTTCCAGTGGAAGCGGCCCTGTTAGGTTCTATCTCAAGTCAACTGGTGCAGTCTTCTGGGTGGGGGTTGCCGGCCTGACTCAATGTGTGTCGGTGCACAGTGGTGCCGATCTGAGTACGGAGGGTAACTGCTGTTTGCTGTTGTCGCAGTGTTCTTGGTCTGCTTTCACAGTAGCAATTATTCCTGTTTATCGTGCTCTTAACTTCATACCACGTCTTCAGTACCGTAGTTAGAACTTCCGGAGATATGAAGTTGGCGGCGAACAGTCAAGGTGAGGCCATGGTTTCAGGTGCGGAGAGCGTGATGGCCTGCAGATTTCTAACGCTGCTACCCCACTTATCTCCTACCGCTGGACGTAATGGGTATACTTACCTCCTGGGATATCGGTTGTCAGTTCAGGTATTCCATGGATGACCATGATTACGGGTCTTTGTGGACCAGCTGCTTCTCGAGATGTCTTTCTACCATCCATGACCAGCCGGGTCTTGCCTGAATGCTGGATGGTCTATCAATAACCAGCGTGTGAGATGGCAAGAGGGACCTTCCGGCATCTCTAGGTGAGCCTAGACTCACTTTCATTGGCGGAGGCTTCTCTGGGTGTTGAATGGGTGCCTTTGTACAGTTGACACGGTTTTGTCCCGAGTGCACCTAGGCCCAGGGTGACACGAAGGGAGTTCCACTGCTGCCTTTTAAAAGTGTTCTTATGCTCCAGAAGACTGTCATTGCACACAGGAATGTTAAGCAGGGCCGGACCGGTCAACGATTCCTACACTATCCGATGCTACAGGCGCAATTTCACGAGTAATCCGGGCTTCCTTCTTCAGAGATATTCCTACGAAAACCATGCTGTGATCAAAACAATGGAGTGTTTCTCTCGAGGCGAACTGTGGTGGCTTTCCTGATCACTCGTCCTAGGATTTTCATCGCAGTACTTATCGGTCTGCCATTTGATGGGAGCTGCCAAGAACGCGCCCTGTGTTGCTATGGCATCCTTCCAGTCATAGGGGAGTGTCCCTTCACTGAGAAACAGACTGGATATGGGTCAACGGGTCGGCTACACAGGGTGCTAGCTCTCTAAGCAGCCTTGAGTGCAGCTCATCCGGTTCCTCTGATTCTTCTGAGTCGAGATTACTTAATATCCGAAATACATCCACTGCAATCGATATCCAAGGAGTTTATTCTGTTGGATATCAATGCCTCTACTGTTGGATAACTGGCCACAGAGGATTCCTAAGCAAAATGTCCGGCCATGGCTTCTGCTTTTTCCCCATCGTCCCCAATCAACCAGTCATTTTCTGTCCCATTGATTAGGGCGGGTATATCACGACACGTCCTATTTCTATAGTTCACATAGAAAAATAACCTCCTCGGATGTTGCAATGCAGCCTGGGCAAGACGTGCTTCAAAGCATATCCGAGACTGGCGGATAGCAGCGACAAATTTATTCCGGGCTTCTTTGTAATGCTTCATCATTTTGAGTGTGCCGAGGTGGGTGGCAAGACTCCAA